ACTTATTTGTAGGTAAAATAAGAGGCTTATATTATGTAATACAATTTCTTAATCTAAGTGAATAAAGTGCATAATAGATAGTATTTACAGAAATATTCTATCCTATTTTTTTTTCTAAAGTTCCTTTACTCAGTAGCATATGGACTCTTTGCAATAGAAAGGGAGTAAACTGCTAAAAAAATTTTTTTTGAGTTAACATTAAATCTGGACTTATTTTGTTAAAAAAAATAATATTTAACTTATAAAGTAAAAAAAAAATTTTTTGGTAGTTTCCTCCTTTTCTATTGTAAAAAGCTTATATAGTCATCAGTCTTATGTTTTTTATTTATTACTAAATATTTAAGTCTTTTAAGCTGGTTATTATTAATTAAATATGGCCATTTAGATTGATACTTAGAATTTATAAAACTAGTTTTATCATATCATTTTAATGTATCAAAAACTGTTATTTTTCTACATCTAATAGTTTCAGCAATTTTTGGTATGAATTTTCATATTGATGATAATAAAATATCACCTTACATTGTTATGTAGTTAATTTATTTTTGTTTTCCTTTTTTTGTGAAGTATAATAATATAAATAAATCAGGTAATTTATGATATTATATGCAAATATAATGTTTATATATAAATAAACTTAATGCTGATCACTTTTTTTTATAGTTATTGGTTACCTAATAAGTTATTTAAAAACTTTTGAGTACCTTCTATAATATAATAATTTGTTAAACATTTTACTTTTAATAAATATATAATTAAAAGAATTACAAATATGATTAAATTTTATATTATACTTTTTAAAAGCATTATTAATTATTAAATCAGAACTTAAGCTTAGGCTTAAAAGTTTTTCTTATTTATAATTATATTTACAATATTTAATTCTAGTAAATTTAAATATTAAAAGATTATTAATATCTTTTATAAATAGTTTAAGTAAGTATAAAAATCTTTTACTTGCTGACTTTTTGTTTTTTATTCACTTTACTTGATATTTTAAAAAGTTTTTATATAATTTAATTCTATTATTATTTCAAATTAAATTTAATTAAAATAAATATTAAATAAATTTAAATAATATAATATAATTAATACTGATTGATAGATTGATTGACCAGTTACTAATAAATTATATATTTAGTTACATATAAAATTTTTACAAAAATCATCTAGTTTTATGCTTTAATTAAGACTTAAACTTGTAGCTTTCATAGTATAATTTATAAAAGAAATTCATACTTTAATTATTTGAGCTAGAATGCTAATCCTTTAAATTAAAATATACTAATTTTATATACATTTTTAATTGAATTGAAATTAAATTACTTATTTAATTAAAGTTAATTAGTGTTAATCAGTGGTATTTTAGGTTGAATTTAAGTAATTTAAGTTCTGAATTAATGCTATGTTAATGCTAAATTGAGACTAATTTTAGGCTGATTTAATTAAATTTAAGTTCTAAATTAATATCAAATAACTATATCTGATTAGCATTAATCAGTATTAATCAGTATGTATTTATACTAATCAGAAAATATGATAAATTAACTATAAATAAATATTAAAATAAGCTTAAAATTGATCATCTGATAGCTAATTTAGATTATTTTGATTAGTATAATATTAGAAGAAAGTTGATACTTTAATATTATATTAGTCTTTTTAGATACTTTACATATTAATAAGTTTAATTATTTTTTTTTTCTATTTTTAGTTTGATTATACTAATTTCATAATCAATTTAAATATTATATTAAAATAATGCCTATCTTTGGATCTTCAAATTTTAATAATTATATTTTTAAACTATCATTAAATCAAATAATCATTAATTAGATTATTTTATAAATATTAGAATAAGAGAATATTTTATTAGAGATATATAAATCCAATAAGTTTTTTTATACAAAATGATTATTAGGATCAAATATTTTAAGTTAATCTAATTTTTTTTGAAATTAGAAGTTTTTTTTTTTGATTTAAAACTGTTTTACTTAATTGAAAATTTTTTCATTTCTGATTATTTTTTTTTGATTTGCATGATTGCAAAAAAAGCTGTATGATTTTTATTTCAATTAATAAATGTATTATTATTAATATATTCTTAATCACATAATAGATAATATGATAGAGAAATGCATAATAATAAAAATTTATAGGAAAATTGTCTGATATGTATATTCTCATATAATAATAAAAAACTTTACTTGTAAAAAATATATATATTTGTATTTATATTTCTTATAGTTAATACTTAATAAATTAAAATATTTATTATTTTTAATTTATCTTTAAGATCTAGATGATTAAATATTTTTACATTTTAAAATTTTTAAATTATTTACTTAATATTAAAAACAGATTTATTAATTTATAACTCTTAAATGACTTTTGAGTATTTTATAAATATAAATTTAAAGTATTTTGAATTATTATTATCTTTTTATTAAAATTAATGCATTTAATCTTTTATTTATATTCTATTAAATTAATAATTTATTTAATCTTTATTAATACTATTAATATTATTATAATTATTAAAATATCTTGTAATATCATAATTGATTTCATCAAATTATTTAAAATAATTAATTAATGTAAAATTTAAATCTTTAAATAAATAATAAATTAATTTTGATTAGCTTATAAAGTAAAGAAAAAATTTTCAATTTCTTATATAGTGTATTTTCTAATATCAAATTTCATAACCAATGAACTAATAGATAAAGTACTTACATTATTGTTAATTTTTTTTAGTTCTTTTTAAAAGGATTAGTATCTCATAAAAGTTTTAATGGTGTACTTGATATTATTCTTGAACTTATATCATTATTTACACCACAAGATCATAGATATGTCCAAATCAGCAAGGACGGCTTATAAAAACGCTTCCTATAAATGCATATTCTTTCCGGTTATATGTACAATTTCTTTTTTATAGTCTAATAATCTAATACAAATATGCCAACAATGGAGTATTTATTGAACGCAAAATCTTTAAAAATTGCATTTCATAGAAATTCTGAAAATTGCTTCTCATATCAATTCGGATATCGATTCTTTGTTTCCAAGTAAGTTGATTATGTTGTAAATACTGTATATTCTTAAATTATATCAAATCAAGCAATCACGAGAAAATAATAATCTTTAATTAATGGATTTAAGTAATGCCTTACTTCGAGTGCTCCATTTACTGCTTAATTTTAATTGGATTAAGCCTATAATTTGGTTAGTTTTTTGTTAAAATTTACATACCTCTTCACATCAATATTTTTTAATCTTTTAAGTCTTTTAAGTATTATCCTAATTATGTTGATTGTTGTTTGTTATAATTCCATTAACTATTAACCCAATCTACTGTATCATTCAAAAAATCTGCCTTAGATAAATATTTGTGTGTAATTATGGACCGTAGCTTTCGAAATTTCTATATTAAATGATCAATTTCTTCATTTCCACATGTTGAATTTGATTAGTTAACGTTAAATAATTTCATAGTCCATGCAATAACGCTAAGTAATCTGTTGGCGATTTTCAACAATCTCTTTTAATCCAAAAGTGATTATATTCCATTAATAATCGTTTACTAGACTCATAATGTTGATCTACCGTATGTCTGTGTAAATATATGGGAGGTTTGCTATTATAGTCGAGTTACGAACATAATAAATCATATGATCCGTAACTCGATTTTAATAGCAAACCTCCCATATGATAATTTAATTCACCTTCTCTATTAAATGAAATATGAATAAATTTTACGTATGGGAAGTCCTAACGTGAAGAATAATGAAATAAATATTAATATTCAAAAAAAACCAGAAAAAAAAATTTTTTTTGAAGTTATTAAACGCAAAAAACAACTCCGAATTTAGATAAACTGTTAGAATTGATCGACAATGTACTGACAGTCATCAGAAAAATACTTTGCCGTTAGCTTATTAAAAAATATTCACAAATGATGGTAATAAGGAGTAAGCAAAAAAAAAAAAAAAGTTAAATCAAGTTCAATTCTCACTTGATAAGTATAACAAAAACTTTTTTCATTAAAAACTGACATTTCCATTGTCTATATTCAGTTCTAAACCTGTAGGAATGGTTAATTCCTTCAGTAAAATCTTACATCATCTCAAGGGTTCTCATTAAAGTTTAGGAAGTTATGTATGTCTCTCGTCTTGTAAATTTTTACTAAAAAAATAAATTATTTTTATTCGTTTAAGACGCGACGATTTTTTTTTTTTTTTGCTTGAATTCCCGTGAATTTGATTAGCTAATTGATTCACAAATCTCTCTTGTCCCTTTTATTTGTTACTCTAAACCTTTTTAAATTACCTTGAAAGAAAATTAAATTAGTTTTAAATTAATTTGCATCAATTAATGATGATCATTTCCATAAATGACAAATCATTTACAAAATAAAGACAATAATATAATAAGGAGTGATTTGATTACCATTTTTAACTGTTGTGAAAGTAATTTTCTAAAAATTAAAATAATATTTAAGGTTGAATAGGATTAGTCGAATTTGATAATCAAATGTCTCACACCCCCAAAAATTGGGTGGAGAAAAAGCGGAGCAATTAATTAAATGAAAATTCTTTTTTCGAAACGGCGTAATTATTTAATCCTAATTTAAAAAGGTTCACAAGATAAATGCTCATTGATCAACAAAAAGTAACAATGTGAGAGAAAAATATTATGTCCATCAAATCGAATTACGTCTGTCCAGTCTGTCTGTCCAATGATCAACACATGTAACCTGGATATGATAGCGTCATTCGCGTTGAACATTCCGTTCATACGATTATGAAATTAATTAAAAAATTAGATTTATTACGTCCTTCCTAACCAGATCGGTTGAGCAAATAGCACGTTCACAAATAATTGTATTCTAGTATATAATAATTTATTTGATAATAATAAAAAAATATCACTAATTATATAATAATGATAATAAAAAACATGAAAAAAAAAAATAAATCTAACCAATTCCCTATTGCTTAATTTTCTAACCTTTTACAAAAATTCAAGAGATTTTCTTTAAAAATAATAGATGAATTCCCGTCGTCCGTTTCACAGAATGATTTTAATTTACCGGACCATTTTATTATTTCATCCGTTTGTCTCTTCCTTTTCTTAGAATTATTAAGTTTGTGATTCTTGGACATACCAAAAACGGAAGGTAGAAATTTCTCAAAAAATGGCCGAATCAGTTCTGGACTTGTTGCGCTTTGTAATAAATCCATATGTTCTGGCTCAAAAGTAACATTCTCTGTAACATACAGGTTAAAAGTTTTTACGATAGAGTCATACGTGACAGGTGAAATTTTATTATCTTCTAAAATACGTGGTTCATCAATATAAATTCTTAAAGTAAGAAGATCTTCAAAGCACATCCTGCATATCTCTGAATTTACCCCAAATGTTTCAAGGAAGTATTGATAAACTTTGGGTGAAAGGATAAGCGACTTCCTTCTTAAATTCATATCGTTCACCTTTTGATCTTTAAAGTATTGTGCAACGACCTCTTTAATAACTCGTTCATGATAATCAAATCTTGATTTAAGGAAATTTAACAAATCATCTTTTTTCAGATTTCTTTCTGGATTTAATGCTTCCCGGAAAAAATTGCAAGCAAGTGAATATATTGGTTCACTGGATCGAATTGTACAGAAAACGTTCCAGAGTATGTCCCCGATATCATCCAAACGATGTTCAAACATATGAAGAGCATCAATAATAACACTATCCTTTAAAATGAATCCCAAATCAATGAGATCTTTAAGACGTGAAATTACATTGGAAACGGTAGGGCAAACCCAATCAGAACTTGGTGTTGGTGGAAAGAGGATAAGCAATGCTCCTTGCAATACTAAATCATTGACATCATTACAGATTTCTTCATAACCAATTTGTTTCCATAAATTCACCAAATCAGGGTGAATAAGTATTGCTCTTGCAATTACGTTTAATTGTCTACTATTCTCATAACCGTCCTTGGGAGGATATTCTTCCGGAGGTGGTTGTTGATGAATGTGAGGGTCATGATTCAAATCTCGCGTAATGGATTTTGGCCTGGGCGGAAATGGAATGAATTTTTGATTCAAAATCAAATCTTCAATGTCTTTTAAATTCTTCCGCAGCATTCCAGGTGCGTAGTTGATCACGTGAGGACCTGCTGATAGAAAATGGAATAGTTCCATATCATTTCCCTTTAAAGGAACCGCATTTCCAAATTGATTGTATCCTTCGCTTAATAAATAAAGGAATACTGGTAAAGATAAATTGCTGGCCCATGGCGATTTGATTCTTTTTTGGAGTGCACAGATTCTATCGGCGTCAAGTTGATTAACGTTATGTTCAATTTTCAGATCTATCAACTTTTGATCGAACTTTCCAAAATGCATTAATAACCTTTGAACGAAGTATCTCGAAATGATGACCTTTCTTGTAAGTAAATTTTGACATACTGGAATGGTAAGAAAACTTGGTCCTAACTTTACGGCAACAAATAACGCATGAGTTTTTCCTGAACGGGCTAACAGCCATTCCGTTTTAGCATACGAATCTTTTGCGACAGCTGCCCAACTCTTACAAGAACGAGCTAAATTAAAAGGTTGATCAACATGTTTAAAAATATTTATTTTAATTTCGTCTACCAGATATTGAAAATATGAATTTAATCTGTACATAATGATAAAAATATATATAAAAATAAAAAATTTTCAATTTAAAAGCCACCATGAAAAAGAAATGTTGAGAATTTATTCAAAAACCACTATATTCTTCCAAATGTAGAAACAAAACAAAGAAAAAAAAATATGCATAAGTTTATTGGATATGAATATGTATGAAAATCCACTCCTTTCATTAATAATATACAATATTCGTTTTAACAATCTTTCAAGAATTCCATTTCTTATTTAAAAACTGTTGCAAAAAAATAAAATTTTCTTAAGGAGGCACTTTTATAACTTGAATTTGGACTATTATCCCTTATCTATTTTATTACATCATCTCATCTAAAAAAAAAAAGCCACAAAGAAAGAAAAAAAATTTCCAAATCAAATTTTGATTTAGTTAAATCAATCAATCATCATATTATTATAAAAAAAAAAAAAAAAAATTTTTTTTTTTTTCGATTTTTTTTCGGAGTAAAAAATTATTGCAAATTTGTTAGCGTTAGATATTTCAAATTAGAAATTTTGAAATTCTTGTTATTTTTGGTTTTTTTTAAATGAGAAATACTCTTTTAAACGCAAAATGTAATGGAGACAAGATTTTTTTTTTTTTAATTTTAGCAACTTTTTGAAACTTCTGAACGTTATTTTTTTTTCAATTTTTTTTTTCTTGAACCCAACTATTAAATGGTTATAGTGAGGTGAATAACGAAAGAAGGTTCTTTATAGGATATATGGATTATTCACATGAGAACATTGAACGTTTAATCAGCTGAAATTTCAATTAAATGTCCTAGATTGTTCGTTTGGATATAACGATAGTTACAACCTAGTCGCAACTAGAGAGACGTCTTTTCATTTGATAAGTGTTGTTTCAAAACAGCTATACAGTTTTTAAGTTTCACAAAAATTTAAATAAAATTGCACATTAAATAAATATTTATTGTTTATTTATTATGTGAACAATAAAGCACAAGTTAAAATTAAAAAACGTCAGATCAATTACTTAAAAACATTTAATACATTAATATTGTTCATTTGGGTAAATATTTATGTTGATAAAAAAAAAGAACATTCAAAATAAGACATGTCTGGATAAGTGTACAAAAACCTCCACTATTGACACAACTGAAATAAGAAACCATAATGAATAGTATGTTATGAAATTAATTTGCGTAATTATTTATTTTAAGTCATTTGCTAGGAAAATCATGCTCCGAGAATTTTTTAACAAAATTTTATTTTTATCGCATCTTAGTTTTGGATGTTATTAGATTAAACTTAATTTTAGTCAAAAAAATTCTCGAGAACAATGATTTTTTTAGAAAACTTCCCATTTATTGAAACATGGTCATTTTTCTTGATATAACATTTATACCTCGGAAAAAAAATAAATAATAAAAACGTGGCTAGACTTTCTCATTTCAAATTTACTTCGGATAATTTCGCCGTGTTGAGAACAGACTTGCTTAGAATCATGATTTGTAATTCGTCACTGAAAATGTAATATAGGATGTTCAGGTGCAAATATTCGTTCCTACAACACAAGTAATTTCTATTATCTCGCTACGTGAATTCATTATATTTTCTATTGAAGGAAGTAATCAACAAAGCGTGGTGAATGAATGAATGCATTCAATGTAATACTAACTATGAAAAACAATGATGAGCTTAAGTAAGGGGAGGAAAGGTATGAAAATAAAAGGTCAATAGGAGAGAGACATTTGGATCATGGAGGATAAATTAGTTATGTGAGATTTTAAATAAAGATGCGATAAGAACAAATGATATTAATAATTTAGAATTACACAAGGAAAGAAGTAAAAGGTGATCACAAGGAGAAAAAAGGGGGGAATGCATATGCAAAATGAAAAAGAGCGTTTTATTATTACAAATAGAGTTTAGCGATAGTCGCTTAAACCAGAATCAAGCAACTTAGTAACGAGAGATTGTAGTACAAAATATGCAGATTAAAGGATTTAATTTTCCTTTCAAACCTTCCAAAATTAGTTAAGCAAATTTGATCAAGAATTCCTAATTCCGATAATAAACCTTTTATGGTTAGTTAGCTCGTGTAAACTGGAACAATATCAAATTTGGAAATTCGATGAAAGAAATGAGATTACTTTCATGTAGATCAGAAACTAATATACTTAAAACTGGAACTGCCCGTCGGAGACATTTATATAGAAATATCCGTCGATTCCACGATAATAAGGAAACCTAAATAAGATCTCTCCTGCTTTCTTTATATTCCTTATATATGTTCGTTGTTAAATTTACTATTTTAACTTTCAGAAACACCAACTTCCAAATGAAGTTCAAAACAAGCAATAGTTTTTATTAAATCATAAACTAATCCATGTATTTATTATAGCTAGGTTAATTAAATTTAAAAATTTAAAATATCTAAAACAATGTATAAACTATTAACAAATTTATGGGTCAATTTTCAATAAATAAAGTTTAATATCCGTTATGTACATATTTGTTGTGCGTCATGTGGTATCTGCAGAAACTTTAATTTTATAATACTAAAACTTATCTTTTTAAAAAAATTATAAATTTGCAATATAGATAGCCGTTATTAAAATAATTTAAGAATCGTTCTTGACGTACATTTAGTTTTTAATAAAAAGAGTTAAAATTTACCATCCTTAGGTACTTCTTTCTAATCTCTGTATGGTATATTTGTCATGTCTGTTACAAATGGCGACAAAATCAAATGCGTGTTGATGTCATGGAGGACCACTAAACTTCTGAGATATTTACAATATTTCTTTCTATATATCACGTGTTATTGATAACTTGGGAATTATCTTAAAAATTTAATATAAACGATTTAAATTCTATTTGAATCTTTAGAAATAATTTGCTATAAGCACACATTAATCTAATTATTTTTCTCTTTAGACGTCGCACAACCGTGTAATTTTTCACTTTGTCTGTTTCCTTTTTAGAATTTGGTTTTCCAGAAAATAAAAATATATAAATTTCTTTTAGTCATATAATTGAATCTTACTCGTCATATGAAAATATTTTCATTGGATTTTTACGCCTACGTTGCAAATTTTCGTTGAAATTTGTATCCACTCTTAAAATTTGTGAAGGCGAAATATTCTATCACCATTGTTTTCGATTCGATCTGCGTGATGCTACTCGCATAGAAGATGCATGGATGAACACTTTCACAGATTAATCTAGATCCTTCTTTTCCCACCACAAATAATTTTCTCATTCACGTTCTTTCCACATTTCGTATTAGCCCATTCGGATTGCAGCAGACGCTTCGGTAAAAAAAACCAAAAATCCGATGATTCATATACGGCAGTGTATTAATTCTGTGCATCAACATGTTTGGATTGATATTTCACAACATTCACACCCTTTCTACGGCTAGTGCTCCGTAAGGGTCAGGTCGGGTCGGGTTTGAAGCATATTCGAACTCGAACCCGTTAATAATTATGGAACCCAAGATTCGACTCGACCCGATTATTGTCCGACTCGGATTCGACTCGTTCAACCCAGGTCAACCCGGGACTGACTCAAATTTCAAGGGTAATATTAACTCCGAAATAAAAAAGCGTTATATAAAGTTTATTTTACAGTATTTTAAAAT